CTCAAAATTCGAAATTAATTTAATGTTCAATCTCAAGTTTAATTACGAAACTTTATCTCAAATGTTAACTATCCATTGAAAAAAGATAATGGCGGAAGAATGCAGAAATACGATTTCGTTGTTGATTTTAACATTCTTGAGTAAAAAGCAGCGAGGGAAATTGACGAAAAAAACGCCGGACGGATAACGGGAAGTAAAAGTGACATCTCCATAAAATTAACACGACCGAAAGGTAAGTGAAAAACAAGTTAAAATCTCGCTGGAGCATATTTTCATTTTGGGGGGGGGGGGGGGGGGGGGGGGGGGGGGGGGGGGGGGGGGGGGGGGGGGTAGAGAGTCGGTGGATGGAATGAGCAGCTGCGCGGGTGAAAGGAGGCGCGCATAGACGGCAAAACTGTCCGCTAACGAGCGACAGACGATATTGTTCATCTTTTGTTCCGCTTTAATTATGTTTCCACTAATTATGCCCAGCCAGTAATTACTATCATGTTACCGGAGACTGCTGCCCAAGGGGATACATCTCTCGATATAATAACGGCCGTCGAAACCTCGCGAGGCCGAGACGGGGGGCGCGGTAGACGCCACCACCGAGCTTTCGCCCACTGCACTTCTTCGAGGACGATGCGCATGCAGTCAGGAGTCCGGTACGCGCGTAAAAAGCTTCGCGAGCCCTTCGTTAAAGGCCCGGAAACGAGGCACCTACGCCCTTTGGCGAGTTCGCCTTTGTCGCGGGACGAGGAACTCGACGTCATCGACCTCACCCTCCCCCGCATTCATCCGCGACGCCTTGTTTTTCACACGATGGCGCAAAGAATAAACGCCCCTGCGTGGCTAGAGCGATATTGAATTTCCCGTGTGTGTCTCGCGCCTGTTTACAAAATATGATGCAAGTACTTTTTCAACTTTATAAATAAGTCTGGCCACGAGTAGAGCGTCCAACGCCTATTCTTCCGTCCAGCCAAAATGTGTCACCCTTCCTCATCATTGTCTCACAAACGAGACTTTTTTTTTATACAAGAAAAACTTTAATCACATAAAATATAATTAATAAAATGAGATTAACGATAAGAAAATTTACTTTTAATTTAGGGATAATATAGGCTTTTGATACAGAATAATAATGAGTATAAAATGAAAATATCATTTTTAATTATAAAATTTACTTCGCTCTCCATTTTCCTTTAAAAATAGCGATTTTTTCGAACAACATTTTTAAATCTACAATGACATGTATTTAACATTAGAGACTTTTATAACTTTAAGCATCGAGACAATTACGTTAGTACACATATTTATCTTATCTTTATCCATTGAATTTGTGAAATGAAAATTTTAAACAAATTCAAAATTATCATAAATTAACAGTTCTAATTTTACAGTTAAAATCGCTGCAAGGATTCCTAGATTTAAACATTTTTATTCTAAATAAAAATCAATTAAAATTAAAGATTCAATCTTTATGTTTTAATTATTAAAATTTTTAAATAATCGGAAAAGTAAATTTCAATAAAACGTGCTTATGAATTTTTAAAATAATATTTAAAAAAAACACGTATTAGACTACTAACATTTACGATAAATATATTTAAATAATTATTATGAGGACAATAAATTTTAATAATTTTTATATTAATGTATTTAACTATAATAGTATTTTAGTAAATAATATTAAATTATCTACTAACAATTTTAACAGTTTTATCTACAACTTTAAATTTTTAGAATAACGTAAACTACAATTTTCAAAATTATTACGATAATTCGACAATGTTATCTTGTATTAATTAAATGCAAAATTAATTTAATTTAATATTCATTCAATGTTATTCGAATAAATATTATCCAGAACTCAAAAAATTGTAATATTTTTATTTTGTATAAAAATATGCATTTCATTCCATATAAGTACAATTTTATAATGTAAATTAAATCAATTATATAAGCACCTGTTAATTTACTAATTTGACTCTGTGTACAAAATATAATTAAATTGCAGCCTTTCAAAATTAAATTTAAATTTTATATTCAAAATTAAAACAAAATGCAAAGCTATAAGCAAATTTAAATTTTCTGTATTGTTAAAATATATTAAAAAATGATTTGTTTGATAAAATTACACACATTGTTATTTCATTTATTATTAAATATTTTGTTTTATTTATAAAAAATATTACTAACTTTTTATATTTATTAATAAAATATTCATTATATATATTCAAATATATTCAAATATAATTGCGAGTTAAAATTACAACAATTAGATTTTTAATATTTCATTGAATTTGAAAAAGATCGATTATATTGTATATAAGATTAAAAATACTTTTCGAATACTTTTTAATATTATTCAACAGTCGATTACGTTCCGAATAAAAAAGGGTTGATGTATCCTTATTATTTAAATTTATTTGCTAAATATTAGCCAAAAAATATTACAGTACATATTTATGGATTATACGTGACAGATTTCTTAAGTTGTAAGTGTAAAAATTGAATATTCCATTGATTATTGATTCAAGTTTTTTTTAAAAATAACTTATTTTATTGAAAAACTCATTAAAAAAAAGCATAATGGGATTTATAACATATTTCATGGGAATTTATAATACATTTAGCTAAACTATATACGCTTTGTTTCAATCCTTGTACTGCTTTGGACTTTGTCATTTTGTCTAATTCCATTTAAGGAACGGCATGATAATAACAGAATAACCAATCAGACTAGCACAACATGAAAGCTAACGTTAGCCAGAATATCGGAGAAGGATTTTGATCATATTTATCGGAACAAAATCTAATAACCAGTAATTGATAGAGAACAATGGAAATAATATATATATATATATATATATGTATGTATATCTAAGCAAGCAATTGAATATTATGTAATGACCTAGACGAGCTCATCTTAAATCATTTGAATTATTATTATAAAACTTATTGTCGCACTTATTTTCTTCATCGAATTATCCGTTTTATCACAAATCTTAATATACATTTTGATATTCGTTAGATACGGTGTTAGATTTAAACTTGTACAAACGATGTTTTCATTAAATCAATCTTACAATGTTTGTATTTCTGTTATTACCATTATTGTTGTCATTATAATCTTATAGTTTTTCTCCAACTTTAACGCTTGTTAATCGTTAATAAACCACTAACCGTAACGATAGAGTTTTCGCAAAACGAGCTTTATAATTTTCGATGTATAATAATAATTTGCCTACTTTAGTGGATTTTGATGTTCGTCTTTACTTTAATTATTACTCGATTTAGTATTATTCAAATCAAGGAAGTAGAAATGAATGATCCGAAAATTGCATATCGCACATATTGTGGCATGATTTCGCTCGATTAAAAAAATGGGAACCATATGATCCATCTATTCTCGGTGTATATGTTTTGTATCAATTCGCTACGTGCTTGATTGAAAAATCTCTTCGTATAAAGGATAGCTTTAAAAATTAATAAACCCATTACATTATTACTGATTTATATTACATTAATAACAATTTTGAAATATGTGCACACATCTAAAAACAATTATACATCAAATGTAACATAATTTAAAAATACGTAAAATATATTTATAAATATAATTGCATACATTAAATTATTTTATAGAAAGTAATATAATTCATATCTGCAACAAATTATATTATTTCTTATACTTAGATAAACAAAGAAAAATATTCAAATTAAATATTGAAAATTGTCTATTTTAAGCATTTATTAATTATAACAAATATATACTATTGTTAATAGTTGATGACATAACATTTTAATTAAAAAAAGAGAATTTTACAAGACCATTAGTAATTTTTAATTTTAAACTAGATTAAAATTAATATTTTAAATTTGCAAATTGAAACAAAAAATATAGGTTGATAAAATTCAAACAGAGTAATCAAACTGTTCGTAGGTTTATTACATTATAAGACATTTTTTATACGTTTCTTTTATTATGAATTATGCAAAGAACATGAACTTAAATTGTCATGAATTGTCAGAAGTATTTAGAGTGTGTATAACATACCATTAAATGCAGATAATAAGGTATGAACGTCATGTTTCTCATTCGAACTGAAGCTAAAACTAAAGCTTAAACTAAAACTAAAGCTACATCTAAAACTATAACTGTAAATTAAAAATTTTTTTAATAATAATTTAACTAACTCATAAAAAATTAGATATAATTTTCAAACACTATATTTAGGAATATATTTTAAAAAGCACTTACCCAAAAATAAATAATAAGTAATAAATTAAGGACGATTTGATGTTGTTAACATTTTCAGTTTAAGCGTACGAATGAATGGTATAAATTATCATCAATTGCCTGAATTATTTTCTATATTTATTGTTTTATTATTTATTATACAATTGTATTATTACTATAAAAAAAAAAAAACATATATGTACACATACTTATTAATCTGAATTATTTTACTTAATTGGGCACAATTTTATAAACTTCTCTTATATACCAAAATACCGAAATAATGTACAGTAAGTGATTAATAATTCCTTGATAAAATACAGGTATATAATATTTTGTCATATTTTATAAAATAATCGTAATTTCTTTTATAAATTATAAAACTAGGAAATTGTTTCATTTTTTTTTTATGTGATGGCCTTTTTGTTAATAATCATAATCACTTGCTTCAATTTATATTTAAAATACTTTAATAATAAATTACCCATACAAACATTTATCACGCGCGTTTTTAATTAAAAGTTATTCTGCATTTTTATAATTAATTTTCTACTAGCTTAATTTCTGAAATCGTCTCTTTATTATTCTTATGAATGGAAAATGTATTTAATGCGTACTATTTAATATATCATTATATTCAAAAGTAGAAAACTTTATTAATTATAATATTTAATTTGTTACTCAAAATATAAATATATAAATCAAGCATATGACGTTCTAAATTAAATTAATACATTGTCATTTATTTACAATTATGTTAAATAAAAAATGTTTCCTGTAAGTAAATATTTATTCTGTTTATTGTTTTTTATAAATTTATTTTATCGACTCTTTCTTGATTGTTGGGTAATATATGAATGTTTTTTATACCACTACCATTCGTATATTTTCCTTTATTTCAAACTGTATTATCTAACGCAATAAAACTCCATCAAAGTACAATATTTGATGATAATTTTATACAAAGTCGTTATGTTTACCTGCAAAATTAATGCACTAAGAAAATTTTGTTTTCTTTATAAAATTTTTGCTACAAGTGAGAAATACACAATATAAAATCGCTCTATACGTAAACAACATTTACACCATAAAATCACTAACATGACAAATTTAAAAATTATGTTACATTTTTAAATAGTCACTTTCTATAACGATAAACAATAAGGCTTAAAAATATGTTTCAATATTAAATATAAGATATATTTTATTTAAAAACATTTGCTTCATACTTGTGTGTTTAGAGCGCTAATTGGCTGGGCTTTTCACTAATTGTTTTTGTATTTAACGAGTGGCCGCCATAGGGAAATAAGAGACGAATGTATTATGTGCGGTTGAGGCATTGGTTAGAGGAGGAAACGAGATGCGCATACCATACAGATGGTAAATTGGATCGCGGCTAAATGGCTGCAATTGCGTGCTTGCTCGCGCCGCCACCGGAATTGATGTTGAAAAAGCATCGATGCATATGAATTCCGATTTAGTGGCGCGAAAAATAAAAGCGGCGTGAGTTGTTCCGTGAATCAATCCCTGCTCTTCATTCGAGCCACCCCATCGTCCCGTTCTCTGTCACCCTTCCGTGCGTTAATATCAAATTATCGCCTACGACACGCTCGATTTTATTCGTCGTCAAATTGTTCACTCTGTATGCTTTTGTCGGCTGTACTTCCGTGTGACGCATTTCAATACTATAGTGTCTTCTAATAATCTTTAATTTAAGAATTTGAACGAGTTTGTCTTCGACGATTTATCAAGAAAACGTAATCGTAGACTTGAATATACGATTATTATTATCGTTGGATATATCAATTGAGGATGAAAATATTTAATGATATACTTGACATAATTGCTTATATTATGCTTACGACATCGTTGTATAAAGTAATGTATCTCAATCCTTTATAATAGAACAATTCATCATCGAAAATCGTGGTGGGGTTTTCCAAATCGCACTGGACGATCGCTTAAGTTTCTTAGGATCAATGCCTTGGAACAAATCTCTTAGATCTGGAGTACATTTTTTTGCATCGAAAAACTTTAATACAAATTTCATTGGGATATGCTGTTGCATTGCTAATTGCGTTTGTCGCACATGTTCTGTACAAAAAAAAATATAAATTTTTAAAGATAAACATGAAACATGAGCCATTAAAATTAATTTAAAACATTGCATACTTGAAGCCCATGGTGGAATCTGATGTTTAGGCTTATTTTCATCATCAGACTCTTCTTCGTCTGGATCACTATCGATTTTATAATTTTCTGTCGTTTGTTTTTGAATCACAGCTTTAGCCTATTTAAAAATATCAATATAAATATCCAAAATAGAGAAAAAATGTGTGAAAAAAGAAATAAGAAAGAAGATGAGTAAAAATTCGGGACTAATTTACAAAAGTACATAATTATTGTTGAAAATGTTCTTAGAAATATTAAAGAAAAAAATGATAAAATAATCTGATATTAAAATACCAAAGCATATAAAATAAATAACAAGAAGAGAAATGTATTAGTGAAATATAAATGATGAGAAAAAATAGAAACATTTCTAGAGAAAACGTTTACAAATTTTTGAATTTACAATGTAAAGGTGAAAATCAAATTAATAATGAACAAATATGAAAAACTAATGTTTAAAAAATAAAATTAATATTATAAAAAAGAATATAAAGTATAGAAGTGTTAGAAGAATGTCAAAAGTATAAAAGAGCATAAGTCAAAACAAATGTAAAATTGAATTAATAAAAAGTAAATGCATTAAAATAATATATAAATTAAAAAAAAAAGAGAATAAACGGAGAATAAATAAAAAAAAATTAAACAAATAAATAATGTAAAAAATAATAACATTTAAAATAAGATAAACGAATAATTATAGATATTTTTAAATATAAAATAAGTTAATTATAAAAAAAAATTAAAAACTATAAACAACTGCAAAGCCAAGTCCAATATAATAATAGTATATTTAATAAAAAAATTATATTATATACCTTAGCTTGTTGTAAAATTTTGTTTTCCATTTGATTCTTCATTTTTAATTCAGCCATTTGATGCCTCATTTCGGCTTGTTTTCGCTTCTCCATTTCTTGTTCACGACGTTTTTGCTCTGCAAGTAGTCTCTCTTGCTCTTCTTGATCCTGTATGCGTTGCAATCTTGTTAATTCGTCTTGCTTTCTTTTTTCTTCTTTTTCCTACGATAAATCATAATTGTTCAAATTTAGTTAATAAACATTAAAATTTTTAGTTATATATTATACTTGTGCTCTATGTAATTGCGCTATGCGCTTTCTCTCCATTTCCTCTTTTTGCTTTTCTTGTAGTTGCTGGGCTAGTTTTGCTTTCTCTTCCTTTTCTTTTTCAGCTTTTAGTCTTTTTTCATAATCTAATCTTTCTTTAGCCTCCCGCGCTAATTTATTCTTTAATTCTTTTTCCTCTCGTTTTCTAAAAATTTGATATATTTTAATACAAAATAACTATTTATGTAAAGACCGACTTAAGATTATTTACCGTCTCTTTTCTTCGGCTTGAGCTTTCAATAAATCTTCGCGCTTTCGTCGTGCATCTTCATCGTATACTTTTCTTCTTTTTTCTTCACCCGATCGATCGTACGGTTTTGAAGCTGATTTTAATGGTTGTATAAACGAGTCTACGTGCGTCACTATATTTCCACGCGATGCTGTTAAAGGTTTTGAATACTAAAATAATAAAATTGATTACTTTAATAGCTAATAAATTGTTTATATAATAATTCACGTTTGAACAAAAAACATTACTGCATTAAGATTATGCGTATTTGAAGGTGTATGTTGTAATTTGCTTATGGAGCTGGGCATTTGCAATATACGATTTTTTCCCAATGGTGTATTTTTCGATTGTAATTTATGTGCTGATCTTTCCAATGAACTTTTTGACTTAGAATACTTGATATGTTCATTCTGAATATAATACAATATTTATAATAAAGCAATTTAAATCTAATTATTATATTATAAATTAATGTTGTTAAAATTAAATAATTTCTCACCTCTTTTGTGTCATCAAATTCTCTTACTTGTTTTGCAAGAGAAATTTTTTTTGCTTTAGCTAAAGATTTTCTAGCTAATTTTTGTTTTACAGCTGAAACAGGATCTTCTGAGAAACTTGCCGCAGCTAATGCCCGAGTTTTTGTCCTTGTAACACGTCCTGCTGTTTCATGTTCATTTTGTTTTGGACTTGTAGCAACTTGCTCAAAAGCTTCAACTCTTTTTTTAACTGAATCTTTAGCATAAGGGCTAAATAATGCTGCTTTTTTGTACATTGATTTTATGGAAGATACCTTAAAATCTTTAGTTGGCTTAGCTAATTTCATTGGAGTACGAAGAATTTCATCTTCATCACTTATTGATGAAACATTGGACTTAAGAAGACGTTGCTGTTTCTTAAGTTGCTCTTTCTTTCCATTGTATTCTTTTCGCTCAGGTGATGATTCATCATCTGTAATTAATTCGTTAAACTTCTCTATTTGTTTTTCAGTTTGTAATAGTAATTTTTTGGCATTTTCAGATACACTATTTGCGTTTGAAATAGCAGCCGATTGTTTATTATTTTCTTCTATTACTTCTTTAATAGTGCTATTATTGTGTGATACTGATTCCTTCAATGAATTCTTTTTAATAGTAACAGTTTCATTGAGAATTTTTTTAGATGACAGAGGTTCGATTAAAACAGTTACATTCATTATTTTATCTATAATTGCTGTAGTGTTTGGATTCATAGTTGAATTCATTATAGGAATAGGTTTACCAATCGCATCTTCGTACATTGAAGCTGCTGTTACATCACTGTTACTGATTTCCATTGATTCGTTTATGTTATTTACTTTCGATTTCTTTAGAGATTGTGCATTAATTACTGAAGATGATCTTGTAATACGTTCGTTCGATTTTTTTACATGATTTGAATCTGCTGATATTTCCGAAATTCTTTCTAATTTAGCAAAATACTTTGGATCTTTCTCATTTTTCTGTGGAGGTGATTTTGAATAATTAGCTTTCTTTACAACTGGTTCATCATTAGACAAAGACTTTTTTACAATATATTGTTCAGATGACAAAGTTGTATCTTCATCTTTATTTTGTTCATCAAGCTTGCGTTTAACCGACGTCCGATTTTGTCTTCTTGAATCAATGTCTTCATTTTCTTCGGAAGATTGTAATAAATCATCGCTTAACTCTTGAGGCTTGTCAATAATTTTTAACTTTGATACAGATTTTTTACATTCCATTTTGCTGTGCTTTGGTGGTCTTATATCTTCTTCGTCAGAACTACCTAATGATGCTTTTGGTCGTTTTGATCGTGTTTCTTTAAAAATCTATCAAACAATATTATTGTTCAATGAAATATTCAAGACACAAAATTTTTTAAATCGTAAACAAACATCTAATATTTAAATAAAAAATATAAAAAATTATTCATCTAATCGAGTACTTGAATACATCAAATTATCATAGATTTTTTTTATGTTGTGTGTTTTTTTAAGTTTAAAGTGAAAATGAACTTCCTAAAAAAGTTTTGATATTATATTTAAAAAATAGATTAATGAAAAATAAAATATAGATACAATTGATATTATGGATTTTAAAGATGTTAAGACCAAGTGAGATTTTATTATAACTTGTGCTCTGTATAAGATTAAGTAAAATAAATATATACCAAATCCTTGAAAACTTAACATATATTATCTCAAAAATTTTTCATTAAAATTAATAATTATTGCATTCGTGTAAACAAATTATAAATCGTACTTCCATAATTCTTAATTATTAATAGTTATTTTTTAATATTTAGCTGTATTTAAATTATCTATTTGAAGGATATTTAAAAGGTATTATACAAACCTTGTGCGTAGCAGATACTTCTGTGTCTTTTGACGGCCTTCGAAGTTTTAAAGTTAAATTAATAGATTGTTGTTTTTTTATAATGTCTGCTGCTCGAACAGAAGCACCTCGTTTCTCTCTACAAGTACGAATATCTGATGTTTCTAAAATAATATCTGCTTGGAAAGATTTACTACTATCAGGGATAGATAGGCAACTAGTATTTTCCATTTCAATACATTCTGGAATGGCTTTAATTCTTGGGCCTTTCTTTTTCGATATTTTTGGAGTTTTCGCAAGCAATGGACCCGAACCAGATTTAATTTGTGAAATTAACGCGCGGATGTAATTTGATGCATCCTTCTTGAGATCGTGGGCAGTTTTTGTAATCTCCTGTGATTCTTCATAAAATCGAGTAAAGTCAGCTTGTAACATCTTTAGTACGGTAATATTATCCATGATGTCAATTTCTAAATAAGCAAATAAATAAATAATAAATTTTCGCTACATTATTAATGTATGATTGTGAAATTTACACAAACGACTGAAAAGTACGTTATAACTAGTGCAGATATAATTCAATAACGTGCATTCGTAAGAATAAGTTATACTTACATGTTATTTAATGCCCTAGTAAATTAAAAAAGAAATCTTGCAATCAATCAATACCAACAATAAACACACTAAACACGAACGTAATACTTAATACTAACTTGTAATACCATACAACTAATGCAGTAACGGGTAAACAGAATTGCGCACGTCGTTTAACAAAGACAAACAGTTAACACGAAACTACGACCTGGACTGGACATCCTTTATTACACGTGCGTAAATTGGTTAAAACTTTTCAGCTTTGTGAATTTTGCCGCGTTTTTCGATCACTTTCCCCAATCCTCGATTTCGTGCGCGATCGCAACCGCGACTCCATGTACGAGATGAAAGATCTCGCGAAACCAAATTCCCGAGTGCAGGCACCGTCCTGTCCAATCTCACGGGCTAACGTCTTTTTCAAATTTACGCCGATGGCGCCGCACCGCGTCAAGTTACCAAAGCAATAGACGTGCAATAAAAAAAAAAATAAAATAAAAGAAAAGCGCGCCCCTACTTCTGCACCCCATACCCGTTCACTATTCATCGCCAAATTCTTCACGTTACAGCTTCGCTCTGAATTTTTTGACGAGGTTACGTGTCTATGGCTTGTTTAATGTTTAATTTCACTCAAAGCATTATTGAGAGATTAAGCGGGTTGTTTCTTGGGCCAATGCCTTAGTGGCCGTAGCCTCTTATTACATTATGGTGAGTAGAAGATGTAAGCTTTAAAATCTTGTTTTATGTTGTCGCGTCGTCAGCTCGAGATATTGAATTGCGGGTGTATATAATTGAAAAAATAAAAGGTTAATAATTGTTTAGGCGCCTCTAATCAATGGCGAATAATAGACGGTAGCTATATATGAGCTAAAAAGGAATAAGAATAATTCAGACGTTCGTGTAAGAAATTACTTCGATTTGTCTTAATGCTTTAGCGGTCCGTACATTTGGTTATAAACATTACTGAATTTAAATATGAATTGCATTACCATGTGTAGCTTTGGCAATTTAAACGTAAATCTACGTATATAAAGATTTAAGAATTTTGTAATTGCGCGAGCGAATTTTTTAATCCCGCATTATGAATTCTTATGGAAACCAATTTACTTGAACTAAAGCACTTCGAAAGTACTTTTCTACCGCTTGTATATTAATATTGTCGCGCTCTCATTGGCTAATAATTTGAAATTGCTAATTATAAAACAAAATGAGTTTCAATCTGAAGAGGACAGTCGCATGCACAACGGTACTGTGTTTTACGTAATCATGAAACCGATGAAAGTATTGAGAGAGAAATAGGAATTTTAAAGACACGAATAGAGATCATTTAATTGACGAAATAAATTATTTCATGAAACAATGATTGTATTTATTTTTAAATTGAATCGTTTTATTATAAATAAAATACATAATTTTGATAATTATGAATCGTATTCATTAGCCATTATTTTCAATATGAAATTTGTTGAACTCATTATTTAATAAAAAAAATTATCCCTCATTGCAGGTCATAAATGTAACATTTTATTTAATTTTAAAAATTGTATAAATCATTTTATATTTACAGTATTATATCGAATTCTAGGTAGCTTTTAGCTTTCTCTTCCACATATTTGTATCATTTTTCACATATCGATTCATATATTTCCTCATAATTTTATTCGAAATTACTTATTATAAATTTTACTTTTTTAGAATAAATGTAAATGATTGAGTACTGAACTTCTTTTTATATTTTAAAGGTCATTCATCGTTTTCTTTTTTTTTCCATAACCTTCTCAAACAAATGTAATTCTAAAGACAAGTTAATTTAATAGAATCTTTAATGATTTTAATACGAAATAGTCAACAAATCTTACTATAATTATATAAGAATCGGTTATATTTTAAAATTATTGAAAATAAAAGTACCCTATAGGCTGTGCTGTACAGAAATGGATGGATTTAATTACAGAAATTAAAATTTAAAAACAGATTTTATTGCCAACGCATTACTAGTGTAAGTTTTCCATCAATGGATGTACACTCGTTCGATACTTTGACTAGATGTACCGCTTGATCGTTTATTGTAATTTGCTATTCCATAATAAAAATAATTTTTTATTGACAGTAGTACAATGTATTGAATGTACGTCAAAAACGTTCTATTCAACTTTAAACTAATAAAATTTTTGACATCTATAATTTTTTAACTTGAACAATAGTTCGATGCCACTACACGTCTAAAGTTTTTTTTTTCTTAGTCTTTCAGTCAATAGATTGTGACATTTCTGAATTTAACGTGTTAGCCATTATGTTCTAATGGTTCATGAAACAATGACTGTATCAATGTTACAGATTATCAACTAATTGTCTCGTTGTCTGGCTAAAAAATCTAAAACTTGTTTGACAATTATAACTAACTTTTTTTTGTTAATCTTTGTTGGTCATTTTCATTGTCGCTAATCTAGGCTCTAGTTATACAATTGTATGTACAGTTATTGATTATTAAAAAGAATATTTAAAATCTGACATAATAAGAGTACTTTCATATTGCAGAATTAAAATTTTCTTGCAATGTAGAGTTTTGAATTTGACGAATTCATTTCTTCCACACAAAATGTCGAAATCATTAATAACAGATGTATCTTTGTCGTAGTGGAATGTTCCTAGGCACAAATTCTTAGTAAAGCGCTTTGACGATGAAAGTTGAGCAGACTTGAAATGGACATTGGCAATATGTGAATCATATGGATATAAGCTCTTCTGAGGCACAGCGCATCTTTTTATTTTTCCAGTCTATATGGCCACTGTATTCCACTTTTTTCATCAGGTACAAATAAAAACGATTTATTTAGTTTTTCTTTCATTATTGTACATTATGTGGCATTACGAAATTGAATCGACATATTTTTATGGCTAAGTGGTTTTAAAGTTTAAACAGGAACATTAAAATTTACTTAATTTGGCTTTGGAATACTGACATGTGTAATATCCATCGCCGCAAGAATCCCAACTAATCCCTTAACGGTAAAAGATTTTTTTCTTTTAAATTAGTCATAATCCATATGAAAATTATTCACATTTTTCGATTTCATGATTTACGATTTCCTTCCACAACAATTATCATAACATTTACTTTCACTGAGAACGCCAGCATTCTCTAAACTTTCACTAACAAATTCAAGTTGCATGAAACTTCTATATTTCAAATTTCCGGAAGGTGAAAGAAGGTGATTCGAGCGTTTAAATAAAGACTTTTTACTAAAACACCTGTATAATCATCAGATTTATACGTGTTTGATACATTTAAAATTTGTTCTCGATGCACATAATAAAGTAAAGAGTCTTTATTTATTACAATAATTACTCAGTCCTAAAATAATTTTCACAGAGTAGTAAAGAACATACATAGAACTCTATAATAAAGCTCATTCGCAGTTGTTCATTCATGCCTTTTGAATAAAAGTTTGTTACAAAAAACTTTATATCAGTAATAATAAAAAATGCAAAATTTAATTGCTTGAATAATAATGATTTTTCAAACGCCAAAAGTTGTACTTTCTAAATCAAAATTTATCTTACTACTAGAGGTCCGACTTACGGATATTTCATCAGAATTATCAAAATTTAAAAGTACTTCTTCTTCCAAATGTGCATTCAGTAAAATATCCATTCCAGTCATTCCTTTCTCACTATATTTCTGAAACACGGCCGTAGCTATTCTCCATATTTCACGATTTCTCTCAATTATGTGCACTATAGATTGCATCGATGGAAACAACGTTGCTAAATTCCTATAAAAAGAGTCAGAAAAGTTCGTGCTTTATAAGCCTTATTTTTCTTTGTTGCAATGAAAATGTTATACGAACGTAAACAATGGCAAAACCAGATTTGTAATAAATTGAACTTGAAGATCTGGTATTGATGCTCGTTCCCTGTCCATCATCTCAATCGGTGCTGTTCCCATACTTTTTTCTAAATCACCTTGAGAAAAAAATTCGTCATATATTTGTTCCTAAAAAATTATCTTCAATTAGTTGCTTTTTTTTTTTTTTTTTTTTTTTTTTTTTTTTTTTTTAACGACTTGATAATATTTCATGAAATTACCGCTGTCTGTTTCGAAACTCTCCAATTTTTCGTCTGATCATTAAGATCACAACACGTCATAAACATTGCATGCAAAATTTTTCGATTCTTAGGATTATTTTTGTCGTATCCTTCTTTTGTCACCTCTCGCTGCTCATCTACGCTTCTAAAATGTGACGCAAGATCCGTAGCGAGAATATTATTTCTGAGTAAATCAAGGGCCTCGCTATATTCTTCGCTACTGAGATTCTCAAAAATATTGCAGCCTTCGGTATTCAAAATACACATTGATTGTGCCAAATGATGTCTCTATTAATCATACATGAAAACATAGATAAACATAAAAAGGCATTTATAATTTTATCCAAAAGGAATTATTCGCAATGGGATTTTCAATGGGATAAACTCACTTCCATTACAGATCCTTCGGAACTGTATAGACTGGCTAGTATAGTTCCACACTTAGTTTGGAAGGAATTGTTGGTTCCTCTATGATCGATATCGTGACATAAACACGATACAAGAAAGACTAATGCTTGCAATGAGCTCATGTAACCATCCCTCACTAAATTTAGATTTTTCATAAGCAAGTAGGCAAAATGAGCTACTGAAAATGCATGCATCCAGTTGTGATAAGGCGCATCGCGATAACCTTTTTTCACATACAGTATGAACCTGTAAAATATTTTTACGTATGAATTATAGGATAATATTGTAAATTAATATAAAGTGTTTAAACAATTTGAATGTTTTACCTCGCTAGTACGTTCTTTCGGATTTTCCACCGTCGAATAAAATCCAAATCTGCAAACATTTTCAACACATAACAAGGCATATGTCTGTAAGGTACAGTACGAGGGCAAAAACTAAATGTATCGAAATCTTTTATATTATGATCGTCTCTACAGTTCAATAAAGCCTGAACATCTTCTTCCTCTACCTGAAAAACTCACATCCATTAATAAATTACTTTTGAACGCAGGTCATTTTATATTATAAAATAAATGTAGAATATAATATTTTGTACCTGCTACATTCATTAAATTTCCATTTGGCATAAAAAATACATTGTACTATTAAAATTTGCAGTATAAAGTAAAATTTTACATTAAATACTGTACTCTACAAAATATAAACATACACCAACACACTTAATTCAAACAAAAAGTTTGTCTACGATTTTAAAAGGAACACCAATTTGATAATTCACCCGAGATATCGAGCATTTTTCGAGTATAAAATGTTTATTTTAATATCAACTTATCATCCGATATTACACACATTAGATTTCAATTATACAATTTGACTTTATTATAATATTAAACAATCGTCAAATAATAAATAATATGTTAAAATAAAAACTGAATTATCTAGACAATTATTAAAAAAACAAAATTTACTCTTATTTGCTGATATTCTTATGTTTATCGATAATTGTCCCTATGTATCTATGTAAAGGTAGGCAGCATAACGAATACATTCTTGCACACGAATTTATTTCCTTTTACTACTTTATCACGTGATTTCAATGGCAAGATTATCATTCTCTTTAAACGTCTTACATTTCACATTGTTTGTTTCTTTACCATGGCTTCCGTAATCGCTCTCCATTTATCATTAAAGTGAAATATTCAAAACTTGATAATCGACCGTTAATTATAAATAAATTTCAACATTGCTTACAATTAAAATACAATTTCAAACGGGCGAGCATAAATATCAATAGTTCGACGTGAAGATATCAAATTTTAGATCTGAACTTTTATCTAAACAGCCCGTACCTAAGCAAATACGTATCGCTTAAAGATTTCAAAGTGGTGCCCCTAATACATTTTTAATTAGTGAAATATTAATAAAATATTATTCTTACCAAAATATTCTAAATTCAAAAAAAAAATTCAATTGTAGTATAAACTTTAATTTAACTAGAAAATAGCTAGTACTGATACAAAAATTTATAAATAAAATTACCTGCATATGATACATCATAAGCTCGTTACTAAGTTTACTCCTGGCCTGGGCGTCTTGGATTTTTTTGTAAACAATACTATGCATTATAGAGATACCGCAATAAATACTGAAAGCCATTGCCACTTCTTCGTCAAATACGTCAAAATAAAGTCCATTTATTTTATTGCACAGTTGAGCTACACCTAAAAATCACGAATCTAAATGATATTTTACAAATATATTTACAAGTCGCATTTAAATTGCTCGGGGAGGAAGTATTTTTCGTTAAAATTGCCAATGCTTTATAAGAACGGTAGATGAAAATATTAAGGTGAAGTATGACCTCACGCACAACAATAAAATGCAGGAATTGAAATAAATAAAAGTAATTATTATTCATTATAAAGGCCGTGCTGATTTACCAATAATTCCATTCTCGTCTCTTATGGGAAAGCATAAAATGTTTCTCGTCTTAAAGCCAGTGGCTTCGTCTATTCCTCGATAAAACAGCGGGTGATCATACGCATTTCTAATATTAAGCAACTTTCCTGTTATTGCGACATGACCCGCTATTCCTTGACCAAGAGGAATTCGCATTTCTTGAGTGGACTGTGGAACGGAGAACAGAAGAATAAGAAAACGTAAATAAAACTAAACTTACGAGCTTATCTCGTAAATTTGACAACCGCACGGGGAGATTAGATAAGATAGCATACTTCCTCGGTCGGAAGTCCGTCGAAAACTTTGGCCACAAGCTCTTGATGTTCGGCCTCCAGGAGGAACAGTGAGCAGCGCTCGGCTTTCGTCAGTTTCCTGGCCTCCGTCATTATTTCACGAAGCAGGTCCGTCAGGTCTCCTATTATTTGAATTTAATAGAATTTTCTTCAATGAGAAAAACAATTTAACGCCAGTGTTTGTCTCGCGCGGCGCGCAATAAAAAAAAACAACGTAATGAAGTAAACAGTCGCGTCTTTCGAACGTCCGTTTATCGTTTTCATTTTCTCGAGTTTTTCTACATCGTTATCAAGCGTCATTATCATAATTGCCGTTATTACGTATACTCGCAGAGACTGCGAATCAATAAACACAAACTGCAATGTAGAATGAAAAATAATAGCTAGCCGGGGAGAAAAGGAAAGAGGAGGATGTGGAAATTAATAAAGGGAATGGGGAAGGGGAATTACTTCTAAGAGCGCGCGCCCGGTAGCTTTTCTAGATATTTACGTGCGCCTATATGTGTTAAAAATAGGGCTTTTTTACCAAGGCGCGTAAAGAGTTTCTTCGAGACGACCAATAAATCTTGACACTGCAGCTTGAGACGCGTTTCCTCCTGACACCTTAGAGTGCTCAGCAATAGACTAAGACAGTATCTGAAAAAGCGAAAAGTACAAATCACTCTCTCTCTCTCTCTCTCTCTTTGCGTGCACACACATTAGAATCACGATATTCATGTGTATTCGGCATTCGCGAAAGAAGACATATGCAGAGTCGGCGCGCATTTGCAAGCTTTCAAAACTCTTGTGTCTTGTGTCTGGTTGCGCGGGCCCAAGAACGACTCAAAAGCGATTGCCTTTGCATAGATAACGAGCCTCTCGATCGTAATTGGATATACATGCATGTCCATGTGAGCGGTACAAAACTGCAAAAGGTTTGTACCACATGACGTATGCAGCGTCATCCCATCTTGAAAGTAAACATCGCCCCGCCCCCTCCCCATCACGCAACACGTCGAAGCGAACCAACATTGATATAGACTATAAAATACTGTAGCATTCGAATGGCGATTGCGTAACGTATTTCTCCCTCTCTCGCTCTTTCCCTCCCTTCCTACGATCCTCAACCCCCCC